TAATCAATTCTCTTCTTAATTTGACAAACATAGTTTAAGTAGCGTTCTCCAATCAAATGGTAGTTTTTGATTGATGATATATATGTTACCTATTTGAGCTAGGTTAGTTTTACTATTTTTAATTTTTTCTATTAATTCTATATTACTCTTTAATTTTTTTTTATATATACTAGAGGATTGCAAAATGCCACTTTTCTAGTAAGTTATAATGAAAACTTAACCCGCATGTTTTTGTTTATTTATCCACAATTTTTTTTTTTACAAAGGTATTTATCCACATTTTTTCACCTACTTTACATGATGAGAAATTATCAGATGATATTTTTAGTGCAACAAATAAGAGTGAGAGATTAAAACTTATAATCTCTTAATCAATAATATATGTCAAGTACTGCTAAGTTAAACTCATATTAGTAATTATCATATAAACAAATTTATGATAGTCATCATCTATGATAGACTATTGGGTCAACTTTTGAAATAAATTCAAATTTTATTATATAATTAATAACATTGAAGTAAAATTAAACATCTACACTTAAAAAGTGAGAGAAAAAATACATCACAAATACGTGGTAGAGAAGTAAATCTATAATTTTTTAGAGGGAGTATACCCTATAAATTCTAATTAACTATTAAACTTGATTTTAACTTAAAAAACAAAAAAAATAGTTGAAAAATATATCTCCAACGAAAAGTGTCTACATAACTAAAAAAAATTATTATTATTATTTTTATTGAGTTGAAAAAACAAGGGATTTTTTTTTTGTTTAGAAAGCAAACCAATTATATATATTCAAGAAATATTATTTATTGGACGGCGGTCTGGAATGAGTTGGTAGCGGATCCTGCGAGTGGGACCCAATTTATAAATATCAATCTGCAAATCACTACCAAATCTCTCAATCATACTTTATATATTTTTACTAAAGTTGACTGTTTATAATTAATTATAATTTATTTCGTTAGCGTGTCAATCATATCAACCAAAGTATAGAATGGAATCGAACCGGAATGATTGGACTCACCTCAAATTTTTTGATCCAGCGTCGTAATTTCAGTTCTATTCTTTATTGTGGACTCCACCTATTTATTTTTAATTTTTAATTTTTAATTTAATTATTATTAATTAATATCAATAAATATTTTTAAAATATAAATTTTACTATCAAATATTATAATGATAAAATTTAATAATATTTTATATTAAATGCTAATAAAAAATAATTTTAGTTGATTGAATTTTATTTTAGTTATTCATTATTTATTAATAATCGCTATAATAAAAGTTATTATTATCAATTATTTTATTTTTTTTGTTATTTTAATTAAATAAATATTAACACAATAATTTATTTGTAATGAAGTAGAAAAAAACTGGTATATTATTAATTATTATATATTTCATTTTGATTATGATTCCAGACAGTTTTTAATAAACATGTGATTCTATAAATTTTAGAGTAAACAACATCTAACAACATTCATTTCAAATGATTTGATTTGAGTTCATTCGTAATTGTTGATAAGTAAACATGGCATTAATGAGTTTAAATGAATTTTTCTAGTTAAATTTTTTAAAAGCTTATGTTGTTGATGAGAATATCGAGATCTCAATTTTATAGAATTATTAATAAAATGTTGATGTTGATAGATATTTGAAGAAAAATTATAAAAATAAAAAACTTGTAACAAATATTTAAATTAACAATACACATTTTCTACTTTTAATTAAGTAAACATTATTAATATGTCTATACTAATAATATTATATTGATTTTATTAATATTTTATCGATATTTTATGTGATACTGTAGATACGCCGATTCACACTCGTATTGATGTTAAATTCATAGACGTATGAGAATATGGATAGAAATTTAATACCTTACCTAGCATGAGATTGTTTGAGCTTTATCTTGGTGCAGCATTAGAATATTTAATTCTATGTAAAAAATAATTTTCTTTTATCAATATGGATGGCTCAATCAATTGATTTCTAACTCTAATTTAAATTGGCCTTTACTTTAGTTATGGATGAAATTAATACCTCATTAAAATCTAATCATGTAGCTAAATCATATAAAGTTTTTTTTTCTTCTTTTTAGTATAAATAATGGGGTATTGGTGTTCGAACTTCCAAGCTTGGAAGAAAAAATATAAATTAATATAGCTTTATTATTATACGGTTTCCAATTAAAGTGATCACCAAAACGTGAAAACCCAGCTAAAAGGTATCCCCAATAGAACTGAAAGTGCAACCCACGTGGAGTTATAATAATCTTAAAGAAAAATAAAAATTCAATTAATAGAATGTATTGATATTTATACCTTATTTAAGTTTAGGATTTAACTATAAAAAAAAAAAAAAGGAAAAAACTTTTGCCTAAAAAAAATGAAATAAAAACTTTTAGGGTTTTCTTGACTTTGCCAATTTATTATTATATATCAAGGGTAAATAGTGATTTTTCCTTATAATTTTAATACTTCTATGTGGACAAACAAATTAATATAAATGTACTATYTGTACGCTTTGATTAATAAACTAATTAAACTGTTTTATGATTTTTTTCTATTGAAATTTTCGTGGTTTAAAATATTAGCAGATCTAAGGTGTGTTTGGGAATGACATGATATTTGACAAATTAAAAAATTAATTTTAGGAAAACATAAAACCATTTAGAATTGATTTCTAAGGTATCATTTGAATGGTAATTTTGAAAAATTAATTATTCTTAATTCCCTTTTTCAAACAAACTCCTTCTACCCTCACTTCCCACCTTATTTATCAAGTTTAATAGAATTAGACCAATAAAAATCCACGTTCCAATATTACTTCCAGCACCACTAACCATCGATCTATCAAAATCGAATGGTCGCTTCGTAGTGGCAAAAGGTTTGGGTGTTGGCATCCAAGATTCAGATTCGAACCCTCCAGTATCTAGTAGTAAAAAAAACATCGATTTGTGACAAAAACTGACACCAACCGATGTGCAGTCGTAATAGTTATTCTTTTCTCTCTATTTTGATAGTCTTTTCTGAATCTTGTTTGGGCATTTTGGTTTTGGGCTTAGAGTCTTTATTTTCGTGGGCTTTCTTGAATGTATATGCCCATTAATTGCCAAATTCTCTAGTTTACGAAAATTTAGAAATTTGACTAAAGCAACCATATAATATTTTGATTCAACTCATTCAAGCCTAGTTTAGTGGACAAAGCTCTTGTTACCATTTCAAAATTGATATAAATATATAATATATATAATTTTATATTGTTCTCATTTGACATAAAAAGCATCCTCTTATTGTAAAAATTTCTCTCGTGGTTGTTGATTTTTTGTGTGAAAGGAAACATCAAGTTAATAGCTCTCAATTAGATGTTGGGAGAATATGGAGTTATCACTTTTCTGACCTAGCACTCCTGTCCGGAAGTGACTCGGGAGGAGTATCGAGATTCTAGTTGGAAGCGAGTGGCACACAATTGCTCTCTTNACTTTCTCTAAATATAAAGGTATTGAATATCAAAAGAAAAAAGGATAGAACATACCTTGTTCAAATTTCATGACAATTGATACGAGAAAGAGAGAAAAATATAATTGAGTATCTTCACGGTTCTTAAACCTTCAACAATCTATAAACTTTTTTCTGTCTCAACTAGAAAATTGATTTCATTATATGGGTGTAGTTTAGTTTCGACTTGTTTGTTTAAGTACTTCTTTTTTTCCTGTAAACATGTGATACACTGATACCATATATAATTCAACTATAAATTTGGACTCCCTATTTAATTTTATAATTGACTTTGACTCCACGAAACCTAACCTTTAAGATCTTCTCATTAAAAATTATATTTRGATAACAAATAAAAAGAATTTTCTAAGATTATCTCTTTCAATAGACTAAAGATATCATATGTTGACTGCAAAAGTAGTATTCATGGGCAAGACTCATGTGATTAAAGAAGAGTATATTTGAAATGATTTTAACGTTGTTAAAAAGATATGTCAAGAAAGTATTCTCAATTTACAATCATAATATAAAAACAATTTTTTGAAAAATTTAAAAATCACTTAAACGTATTGGATGAGAAAAAAATTTATAAATGCTATTAGAATTTACTATGAGTTGTTTTGTTACAGTTAGTTATGGCTTTGTGAATATTCTGTAGTCTATTTATATGACTTCTTAGAACCTGGCGGTTATTCATTTCGCCACTTGTTACCCATGAATATATCAATACAACTGCTCCGATGAGCAATTCCTCGGCTTCTCTTAATCAATCAGTTCTTGCACAATACATTAACCCATATTTCCTTCATCATTCGGACAATACGAGTTTAATTCTTGTTTCGGATCTTCTTACCGACGAGAATTACACTGCTTGGAGCAGAGCAATGATCATTGCTCTCATGGTCAAGAACAAGATTGGCTTCATCGACGGAACAACTCCTCGACCTTCAGGTGAATCGTTACATTCTTGGATTATCTGCAATAATGTAGTGATTTCTTGGAT